GTCGAGAGAAACCGAGGAACTTGCTTCTTGGCCGCGATCCGAATACATTTTTCGACGTTTGACCGCGAACGTGGCTCGTGGATCGTGCCTCGATAACTCTGGCTCGAGTGCACACGTTAAACGTATGTTCCCGCTTCCACGATCGATTGATACGTTATTAAACCGTTGGCCGAGTGGAAAATAGAGATTCGAAACGTCTGCACGTATTTAAGTGGATTTGTAACTCTTGGAAATGGTTGGAGGAGAAGTTTCGCAGTTTCGATATCTGATATTACATTTCCCTATGTATATTTGCATATTATGGCGGCATACATTTTGCGTTATGGTAAAAAGCAATATTTGAAGATATGGGATAAAAATCATTTTTTTAAATCGTGTTTCTAAGATGATCTTATTCGGATTGAATTAGAAAAAAAGAAATTTTAAGATTGTATTAAAAATATGGTTTCCAAAATTGAAGAGATTTTTTTTTCCATTTAATCATCGACGGTATATTTTCACGCAAGTAGAACTATTTGTTTTCTCTTTTGGTTGCACCAAACAGCATCTGTTAGTATTTACTCTTTTTAACGCTCTGGCTCTAAGGCGATTAAGCTTATAGTTTCGATATAGCAAAAGTTTAACTCGCGAATTTACCGCGAGATATTTCAATGAAAAAGTTCACGTTCTATCGCGAACAAAGTTTCACTTCCTTTTATCCCGTATCGTCTATGCGCGAAACATATGCATCGCAATTATGACGGTAAAAAAAAAAAAAATGTGAAGGATCACGCTCGAATAAAACTTGCGATCATACCTCGCGGTTGTGCGAGGTTATAATCTAGTCAAAGCCTATACACGCCTCTGCACGGCAGCAGAAAGCATGGCGTAAAATAAATACCTTTGAAACGTCAAGCATCTTTCCGATTCTAACCGCAAATAGCTGATTCTATTCACAACGTTTGGAAGGTTTGAATTTAACGCGAAATATTAGATAAACGAGAACGAAAAATTTATGAAATTATTGTACAACACGATTGCTACAGATATTCGTGAATAATTGCTACAAAAAATTGTTAATAGCACATTTAATTCCATAGTAAATTAAATTCTTTTATCATTAAATTTCATTTATAGAAATGAAGTTTGATTTCGCGTATATAATAGATATATATCGGTCAATTATTAATTATTT